AAAAAAAAACCTCCGCGTGCGTCCTCTGGCGTAATTTCCTCGGTGTTGTTGCAATGCTTTCTTGGCGTTTGTTGAGTGTGGCATGCAGTGGATATCTTTTCGTCTTGTGTGATGCTATACCTTGTGTGACGCTGTATGTAGCGTGACGCTATGCCTTGTGTGACGTTTCAGGCGTGACGCTGTTTCAAGCGTGACGGTATATCTTGTGTAACCATAATCTAGTGTGACGCTGTGCCTAGCGTGACGCTATACCGTGTGTGACGCTCTATGTAGTGCGACGCTGTTTCAAGCGTAATGCTATGCTATAAAAATTATCTTGTGTGACGTTACGCTGTGCCTTGTGTGACGGTGTATGTGTCTAGCGTGACGCTATATCTTGTGTGACGCTGTGTTTAGTGTTCACCACTTTACGATGTATCCAAACAACACAACTGTTGCCATTCTTCTTTCGAATTAAAGACACATTTTTAATACTTAAATTTATTCCACGAACACACACACACATACACACACACACACACACACACACACACATACACACGCACACACACACACACACACACACACACATACACACAAGCACACACATACACACACGTATATTTACACACACCTAGGTACATTGTAATAATATTCATATGCCCATTTCTTGAACACACATATTCCTTTTTTTGTCAACGTCTCTATATTATGTTCATCTGTTCGATGTTATGTGTTGTATTATTTAATATATCGGTGTTTTCTATACATATTTATAATCACGCATGTAGCCGTTATTTGTCGCTGGCGTGGTTTCTATTCTCTCTTCTCGATATCTTTGAAATATATGCATATTTAAAAAATGGTTACTTAGAGGGCGTCACTGGTAAGTCCTACTTCTTTACTTTCCCTCTGTTGTGTGTCTGTCTGTCGGTCTCACCTTTTCTCAGAACTAAAAAATGGCCATTGTTGTGTCGATATGCTTCTCTTCACTCAAACAAACAAACAAAACAAAAACTGCTTATAAAGGTGAACCTGTGAACGTTTTTACGAACATGCAAACGCGTGTTTTGTTTTATCGGGAACATATTTATTTGTCCATTTCTGACTTACGACTGAATGTCTGTGCAGAGTGACGTGGGTGGGTGGTTGGCGGATGCTCTGGTGTGGCTTGCTCCTTTTTTCCTATCATATATCTTTCATCGTTATCTCCCTTCCTTCTTGTTTTTGTGTTTGTTACTCTCTTGCAACACCTCTAAACTTCGGCACTTATATCACGTATTGTGTTGCACTTGCCGTAATACTCTTACTGAAAACAAAATGGAGAGCACAATGAGAGATAAGGAGAGACTGAAAGAGACTCTGGGAGAGATAGCAAGAGAGACAAGGGGAGGCAGAGAGAGAGGGAGAGAGAGAGGGAGAGAGAGAGAGAGAGAGAGAGA